TTAAATCACTAAACAATAGTTACTGTTATGAGGCTTTACTTTGTACAAAGTAACATTAGTATCATTGCTATCATTGCTTTCCATTAACCAGGGAACTTGCACTGGGGACTTCCACTGAGAGAGAGATTGAAAGAGAGAGAAAGAGGAGCTATGAAAAGGGAATAATTTTTGTATTAGCCTTTAAACTTCAAGTCATTTAACAATGCAATTGATCTCAATATATCTGCATACACTCTGTATTTTTCTTTCCTTATTGTTTTTCTAAAATGTTTAAGTGCCCCTATTAAGAATCAACACATTCCTACTCAGAAATTCACACATAAATACACACCAAAAGTCAATCAGAAAATAACAATAAAAATGCACCTGATAAACAACTAACTTTTCATTCAAAGAGTACTAAGCAATAAAGGGCCTAGAATGAACGTTCCAATTAGCCAGTGTAGTGACAAGCAGTCAACACCTTATTATTTAATCATTAAGGAGGATCTTGCCATAATTTCCCTTTGACATATTTTTAAAAAGGAATTACGAATATACTTCATGACCCCTGACAACAATCAAAAGTAAAGTTAGATGATGCTAAGACTTTATCACTTGCAAGGCCTGTGCACTGAGAGGTCCCAGGATTAAGGCATTAAGTGGGAACCTATGAAGCATTTACAATTTAAATAAGATGTATCCAAATGTAAGCATTTAGAAACAAACTACCTGACAAAGGGACCGTTTTCCTCCCTCCCACTGTTTGTGTCCACTTTTCTTATTGGATGAAAATGAACTGGGGACATTTCTAGTATTAGTAAACATCCGCTGGCTGGTCCCATCTATTTGTTTCTAAGGCAGCAAATCCAATCCATGAAGGACATTAGATTTTTCCTTGCCCTTCCAGCCCCAGCCCTTACCATAACACCTCCCCCAAAGAGAAAGCTTAAATCTACCTTATATGAATCCACATCCCTACGTGGGGGGGGTGTTGTTAGTCAAATCTCGCTTCAATTTTAAGAATGTTAACCCAGACTGTGTTAGAAAGAAAAGTGTGAACTTTTGAAATAAACCAATCGCCACCAGAGTTCGCAGGCCCCCTTGGGAACCAAAGCGCACTGGCCCAGGCCCGTCCCAGATCCCCGAGGCCTGGCGGCCTTGCGCTCTCCAGCCTGGGCAGCACAGCCCCGACGGCCCCCGCCTCCTGGGAGCCCGCCGGCACTTGGCATTTAACCTGCCTGGCGAGCGTGGCTCTCTGGTTCCATCTCCGCAAGCCATATTACCTTCTCCCCAGACGTCAGACACAAATCTGGATTAACATGCAACAGGGCGCCCGGCGCAGCCCGCCAGCCTTCGCCCAGGAGCTGCTAAATGCAGATTCAGACGAGGACCCCCCGGAGAGCTGCTGCTGAATAAAGACTGTAATCCAAAGGGACCATTTCTCTGCCTCCCGCTGCTTGCGGGGAGAAGGAGGGCGGCCGCTGATGCCGGAGCACAGGGCCAGCTAATCTCGGCTCCCAACGGGCAGGCGTGGCCACCCCGGGAGGCGGCCTTGGGGGCCTGGAGACTGCTCCTCTCTCCACTCTCTCCCTACCCATTCTCGGAGTGGGAAATGCTTAGATTCAAGGAGTGGCGAGCAACAGACAACCCTAGGAAGGAAGACGACATATCCTCCCTGGAGCGCGGCCTAAAGTCTAGCATCTGGGTGGCCAGACTCTTCCGCGCTCTACCCTTCTCGCCGTCCCCAGTTCCACCACGGGCGCCCCAAACAAGCGCCCGCCTCTCCTGGGACCCGCACCCTTCTTCGCCGCCAACTAGACCCAGTGCTCGCCTCGACGCTTGGCACCTTGGCTCCCTCTCTGTCTGTTCCCGGGTCGCAGCCGGGCCCTGTGGCACGCCGAGGCCCGGAAGGTCCCGGCGCCCCTCGCTGCCCCCAGCCCCGGGGCGTCTGGAGCGTCGGAGCGGAGCCGGGAGCGTGGCGGTCGGGAGAGGGCGCCCAGGAGGAGTCCCGAGCCCGCCAGAAGTGGCTCTCCCGCAGTGAGACCTCCAGGCGGCCTCGGAGACTGGGGGTGGGGGGAGGAACCCAGGTGGGGGGAGAATGGGATTACAATTACTAGGTATCTTAATCTAATAATAAAAAAAAATAGGGAGAATGGAAGAAAGGAAAAAAATATTAAAAAAAACCCCAAACCAACAACACTACAAGGCCAAGTGGATTTCCGCCGACTTAGCCCTCCGGGAAACCGCCTGGTATCAAAGTCGTCGATCCGAGGTCCCGGTGAGGGTGGCAGCCTTCGCGCCCTCCGAGGGAAAAAAGTAAAATAAAATAAACCGTGCTGCCAGCAGGCCCTAGAGACAGAGGGGTTAATGAGCTAACGAGGCCCAGCGCTCGCACAGCACCAGAAGCGTCCAGTCCCGGAGCGCACCTTCTGCGGTGGCTCAAACTAGCTGGGCCGCAGTCGCAAACAGGTGGAGAGGCCATCCTTTCTGGCCGGGTCCCCAGGGCGCTGCACTAGGGGTTCAGAGCCCCAGGGGACCGGCTAGCGGGCACCAATCCGAAGAACTGGCGCCCAGGGGATGGCCCTGGTGCCTTGTCCCTCTCTCCCCACCTCCCCAGGGCAGGGGAGCCCACCGGCGTCCGAAGCACTGTACCGAGTGTGCCCTGTACCCTGTGCTCCCCTTTCCAAACCAGACCTAGGCACGCTAGCTCCTGGCTCCCGAGAACCGGGTAATTAGAAAGAAGAAACTTGGGTTTGTTGCCCTCTGATCAAAGGATACCTGGGTGAGCCGGAGGGGTCACACGAGCAAGCCCACGCGCACAGACCAACAGCGCCACGAGCTCAGCCAAAGCTGCGAAGCCCCACCCTTAAACGGCGGGGACTAGATGTACGATTCTTATTTTAGAGGTAGAAGAGAATAAAATGTGAATTTTTACCCAATACAATTGCATGCCAATCTCTGCATATCTCAAATTCAGGTAATCAGGTAACAAAGTTTAAGAAAGGAGTAGGGGGAAAACTCAGTGATATTGTATCAATTTTGTATCCCCTCTCCCCACAAAAAAAGCCCCATAACTTTGGTCTTTTATCTTCGACTTTAATAAAATAATGATTCGTTGAGAAAATGGGGTATAAATCTTCATTTTGGAGGCAATTAAAGTGTTGATTTCATTCATGCCCCTAAGCGATTCTTGTAATTTGCTCAAATAGCTTTATGTACCCAGCACTCCGGAGCTTTTAGAATCCCATTTTCTAGTTAGGCTTGTTGGATTACAATTTTTATTCAACAGCAGCTACCAGAGGGTTCCTCAGCGGAATCTGCACTTTACAGTTCCCGGGTGAGGGCTGGTGAGCTGAACCAGGCATGGGCCCCGGCAGCCCTCCGGGCCAAGGCCGGGAGCCGCCTGCAGTTTTCCCACCTCCGCTTGGCCGCGCCGGGATTGCACTTGCTGCGGGTTCCATGCACTCGTCTACACTGCTGAAAGTTTCTAACTCACCAAATATTAGTGAGGACCCGGCTTATTGGCACTTGTAAAGCTCTCCTCTGCCTTCCCCTACTCCTAATAAGCAAAAGAGAAATTCAGCCTATGTCGGGGGGTTGCCCAGAGAAATCCAAGCAGGGAATTTATTTTAAGAGGATGATGTTGAGAGAAGGAAACCATAAGATGACACCAAGAACGAGGTGTCAGGCACTCAAGCAAGGACTGTACAAGACAGCCACTGACCAACAATGATCATGGCAGAGCTTGCAAAGGAAAACCCTGTCCGAGTAGCTGGCCTTTGGCGTAACAAAGGCAGACTGATCTCTTCCCCCTCATGTCGGGACTCACGTGCCAAGTCAGAAAGAGAAACAACTCTGGGCCTTCATTTATAAGTCGGGGTGGGGGGGCGAGTGGGAGGGCGCAGAGGAGACTGGCTACCCAAATCTCTAGCCGCTTCACAACAATTCGCAACAGAACTGTCCTGAGCCCTGTTTCATCTCACTCCTCACGTTTTCACTTTCATTGCATTTTTGCAACTCCTTTGGACCAATCCAGAGACACAGCGACGAGAGAGAGAGAGAGAAACTGGGAGCAAACGGTGGCGTCGGGGTGAGAGAGAGAAATCCGCACCGCCCCCCCCCCCCAGCAACTCCAAATAAAAGTCGTCCCCACTTAGTAACGCATCCGGAGAAGGGCCTGGAAGGAGGACCGCAGAGGAGGGGGCGCAGCTAGCAAAGGCCCTCAGAAGAGAGAAGGCAGGCGCGAGGTCCCCCACCCTCCACACCCAGGGAGCCACGGGGTGCCCCTTGACGCTGACACTTCCAAAAGCTGCCAACCCAGAGGGCCCAAAGCACGTACCAGCTGGAGGATGAGTGGAAAGGAGGAGGAGAAAAGTCCATATTTATCTGTTTTTATAACCTCGGCCTGGTCTTATTTTTTCTATTAAGTACAATAAAATGAGCGAGCTTGCAGCGAACACCGCACAAAGCAATGTTCAGTGAGGTCTAGAAGCGTTCGGCCGAGGAAAACTGACAAGACAGGCTAATGAACCGTATAGACAGGGAGAAAATAGCCAGCATTTGCTAGATTTCAAACCCTCGCTGTCTCTCTTAGACCACCTATCTTGGATTTATTCCTAATAAAATAAGAAATAAGCAGACCCTACACTTTTCTTTCCTTGGAGAGAGAAGGGGGAAAAAATGCTCCGGAACAAAGCCCTACAATCAGAGGCGGTCACTGGCAGTTAACACTCCCATTATTATAGAGGGTAAATAAAATAAAGACAAAAATTAAAAGCGACAAGAAACAGGTCAAGTTTGCTAGCAAAGCTTTTACAAGCTCATCTCTCCAGGTCGAATCCCAGAGCCAGCCTTAATGAAGCAATAATAGCCACATTATTCAAAAATTTTCATTTCGATGGAAATGTATCTAAAAGGAACTTAATCATATGCAAATAATAAAAGGAGGTGGTAGTGACCCAGCCAGCAATATGCATACAGATTTTTTTCCAGGGATGTTGAAATTGAAAAGCGCATACCTGGTCGGTTAGATTTGCTGATCTTGTTATATCTTCACTGTCTGATTTTGATCCTCCTTCTCTATCGTCTATCACCAAATCGATAGGCATTTTCCCTTTCAAACAGCTAATATACCGGTGGCAGAAATTGTCACATAATTCGTGTACCTACATTATGACAGAAATAAAAAAATGGAAATATAATCAGGAGTGCATAAATGACATTGACAAGTGCAATCCACCCCCCTTGTGAGATCCAAACTTCCAAATAGGGGAAACACAGGGCAATTGTCCTCCAGAGACCCCTAGACGCATCCAGAATTAGGAATAACTTTCTTTTCTTGCAAAATAGAGATATCCCAGAAAATTGACAGTGACAAGATGATTCACAGGCTACAACATATTCAACACCCGTGTTAAATTCATCTGCTCCTGGGGCTGTGGTCATTAGAGAGGTGACCTGCATGGGTGACATTTAAGGTAAACTATTTAATTTCATCCAGTTACTTTATGATAAATCCCTTTCCAATCTGTCTAAGGTATACATATATATATATATATATGTGTGTGTGTGTGTGTGTATACACACACACACACACACATATTATTTTTTCTCCAAAAGACCTGTATTACGGTAGCATAGGATATATATGCATGTCAACTCAAGTCCATATAACATTTGTAATAAGAGTTTCTATCCCTAAGGAGCATATTGTAGGATATATCCTTTTAGAAAATAATAGGAAATAAAGTTGCCAGTACTCATGATATAAAAAAACCTACAACCACAGAAACATATCAAATTGTTTTTTTAAAAAAACAAGGAGAAAGAATGCCTCAAAATATCTAGGTACAAGTGGAGAGGTCTCTCACAGGCCCCAGGAATCACTGACATGCAAAAATTCACAAGAAACCCCAGTGTGCTTGCAATTTAATGTTAGTTTGAATTACAATGCATTAAGTTTTTATTGCTGAGATTTATAGAACAGCTAGCAAAATCATGTTATCCCACACCCTTTCTTGAGTGTGAAGGTGGGGTGTGTGCAGGATTCACAGATTCAAGAAATTGACACAACTATCAGCTCTGCTTTGTCTCTGCAAAACGTTTAATGTGCCTCCCCCACCACCTCCTCCAGACTCCTTGCCTGCTCCTCCTCCCCCTCCGCCTCTCCTCTGTGTCTGACCTGCTGCTGCTCTCAGACTGTCTTCCAGAAACTCACTAAAACTAAACAAAACTTTTTCCGCCCTCAGAGGTAGCAAAGAAGAGGAGGAAGAAGAGAAGAGACCATAGAGATATTAAGCTGGGAAGCAAACTCACAACAGTATTTTAAACATCAGCTGGGATGCACAGAATTGCAACTATTTACACAAAGCCAGCAAGGTATTAAGAAAGAACACAAGGCTAGGGCGTTTGTGATCCCGGTTTTAGTGGCTGAAATTGTAATTAAACTGAGAAGAGAAATGGACGCTAAGATTGGCCTTGACACTAATTACCAGAAGGGGGGGAAAAAAAGACATTTATGCAAATGTCTCAGAAGCCTGAACTTCAGCCATTCTGAACCCTCCCCCGTGTGTGTTTGGGGGTAAGGGAGAAGTAGAAGGAAAAGAGACTAGAGAAATTACCTTCTCTAATTCCAACAGATGAAACCTTAATACTTGTATGGCTTGAATCATCTGCAAAGATACAAAAAGAATGAACACCCCATTCCTGGTTTGCAGAAAACTGGCTGTCACAGCGCTAGCATCTCCAACCCACCCCCTCCCACCAGTAAATAGAGTTATTTTGATTTATGGCAATAACACTAAAACTTAATAGCAGCGACTGGGTACCATCTAGAGGTTTATATTTCTTAAGAAGAAAAAATAGCTAAAACAACAACAAAGCATCTAAGTGGGGCTCATAAACACTCTCCTCCCCCATGGCTCTCCCCTTTCTCAGTCCCCCTGGCCCCACTCCCCCCTTCCCCAGGGTCACAGCACTGGACTAGATGTTTCCTTGGAAGGAGTGGACAGAAAATATTCCACATAGCCCCCAAATTGTGGCTTTTTCACACTGCAAAGTTCCTGCTGCTTTCTGCACACCTTTCAGGCAAACTGGCTGTTTGGGGGCTCTTGCCCGGCCGCTGCCCGGTACTCTGAGGGCTGGGTAGTCCGCAAAGTTTAAGCACACACGCTGACAGGCCCAGAGATAAATCCCCGCGCTGATTAGAGCTGCGCAGCCCGGCTGTCATAAAACACAAAAGCTCGCATTTCCCCGCGCCGGCTCGCCCGGCCCCTCTCGAGATGAATTTATTTCCCCGGGACCTTGTCCCCGACCACTTGTCCGTGGACGGAAACATTTGCAGCCGACTTGCAGCTACGGAAAGACAGGTCTAGAAACCCCAGTGCTCTCGAAGCAAAGCTGAGGGCGCTGGAGGTGGGGGCTGGGGGACCGATGGGGGGAGGGGAGTAGGGGTCCACTCTTACCAAGTTATCCAGTTCTGGATTAGAAGAAAATAGAGGTTTTTCTGCGCGAATCTAAATACAAGTGAGAAGGAGAAGGGGGGGGAAGAAAGAAAATTTGAAATCTGGTCGCCTTCCTAGTTTCTTGCCTCATTACACTGTCGGGGGCAGGATGTAACCTACGGGAGGGACTCGGTGACACCGAGCTCGTCCCGCGCAGAAACACTACAGCGTGAATTAAATAAGCTGAAAACAAGCCCAGAGCTCTTACTTCTACCGACAACTACGCCTCTCGCTTCTCCGGGACGCTGCTCAGCTCGCCAAGTCCAAAGCAGCTACAGCGCGTGGCGTGCTCGATTTTATTTTACAGAGTGAGCTTTCTGCGTTAGTTTATGGAGGGTGAGTGGGTATGAATATGGGTGATTTTAAGTTATCCGCAGACAGACACTCGTAGAAGAGGAAAATCTGAGGGTGGATGTAACACGCATGGCTTAGGGTGGACTATTTGCTGGCTACTTTTGAAAATGTGCTGCGTGGAGGTGTTGGGGGAGGGGGGTTCTTTTATGTTTCTTTTACTTTTTTTTTTTTTTAACATTTATTTTGCTGACCTGTTTGGCGAACACGGCTATATCTTCATTGAATGACTCTGAGGAGCAGACGTCCCCGCCCGCCACCCCCGGCTCGCGGGGGGTACAAGTAGCTAATTCACATTTCTCAAAAATCAGTGCTAAGAGAGGGAAGAGGGGGTGTCTGCAAGAAAATACAACAGTCACAAACAACACAATGGTTAGTCCCCGGTCAGTGAAAAAAGGTGCCCAAGAAAAACAGCCAGAGGAGCTAGAGTCACGGACCCCCTCTCTGATTTTGTCGTCTACTTTTTCCCCCTTTCCTCCCCCACGCCCAGGTGGCCGCTCACCTCCCCTTCCTCCTAGAGCCCCGAAGTCGGAGGGCCTGAGCCCTGGACGGTATCTGAGGACCGGTTCAGCATATCTGGCCGGAGAAATTGGCAACATTTGCTACGAATAAAACCCAAGCGGTTCCAGCAGCCATTTTGAATTAAGTTTCCCACCCGACAAGCCCTCGTCCCTCCGCTGCACATCCAGGACCTGGTGGAGGAACGAGGAGCGGGGCGTGGGGCTCGGGAGAGCTGGTTCCTGTGGGCTCCTCCGAGGCGGCCGCACGAAGCCCGGGGCTCCGGGGATCTCGGTGGCAGGCGCTCAGCTAACTTGGGGAAAGGACCTCTATGGCTGCGGGGACCGACTGTCACCAGGCTGCACCTACGGATTCCGACCCCACGGCCCTCGGAAAGCAGGGAGGCTCCTCCTCGGCTCCCTGCACACTCCCTCCCTTCGCGGATGGCCCCCGCCGCCCCCCAAAGAAAGTTCCTTCCTATGTTCATGCGGTAAAGCCTTTCATTTTGTGTCTGCGGAGTGGCAAAGCAGCTAGCATTGCGAGGGGCCTAAATGTCGCTTGTCTCAGCCCATAAAAAAAAAAAAATGCTTCTTCTAATGCCCAAGGAGGTGTCTCAAGTCTTTTATTAGCTCTCACAGCCCAGCTGGGAATTTAACAGTTTGGGGTCCTTTTCAAAGCTTCCCCAAATGTTCTGTCCCGGAGCCTAAACCATTTGCAGTTAACGCTGCGGACAAAACGCTGGGATTTAAACAAGCCCATCGCACAAGGGACCAGAAAATAAAGCAGAAAGATTTTTTTTTTTTTTTAGCCAGGGAGGGTCAGTGTTGCCAGATTTTTTTAAAAAGAAGAAATAAATAGAAATAAAAGTTGTTGCAAAGTAAAAAGAGGCCCCCAAATTCATCAGCACACAGTAGGCACAAGTGACTTTCAAAGGGTTTTAGTAAGTCCAGGGTCTAATGGAATGGCGGAGGAGAACTCGGTGTAAGCTGCCGCCAGAAAACAACCTCCGGCCCAAGAGCACCCCGAATTTACTCCTTTCTAAATAGTGCAGGTTTCGCCTTTGAACACAAAGTGCTAAAACATCTAGAAGTTTCTTAATGTTGGTCACAACTCAGAGCGAGCTCCTCTCCCGGACTTCAGTGGTCGAACTCCCTAAATGCAAAACGTGTTCCCCCTGGCCTGACCTGCCACTGTCCTCCCTTGATTTCATTGTGCAGTGGCAGAGCCAGCATACGCTTGCTGAGTAAACTTAGCAAGTCAGAACAATCAGTGGCTTAAAAGATTTCCCCTTAAACTAAAAGTTTCGTTCCAACACAAAGGCGCTCACATTTAGAACCCCCTAACGCTCTCAGGGCGAAATGGAGCGAGGGAGGACTCCAACCCGCTCAGCGGGAGTCTGAGAGGGGATGAGGGACCTTTAAGCAACTTCTCCCGCACTGGGACCCCTCTGCGGGCATCGCAGCTGTAGAGCAGGGGCTGGGCGTGCAGGGAGAGTGAGTGGAGATGGGGGGCTTCGGAGATGGCAGGCCGCCTTCCCAAATTCTCCTTGCAATGCGAATGAAAAGTCACCAAACATGTACCTCTGAACCAGAGAGCTATGACTTTCATCTTACCAAGGGCACCGAGAAACAGGGGAAGCATCGTATCTCAACTGCTTAACCTGCTGCCCATCGTACCTACCCATAAATGGCATCTTTATCTCTCTTTAAAGCGTCATTGACAGAGGAGCCCATGCTGGGGGCCATGGCGTTGGTGTGAGCAGTGTGCGGGTACTGATGCGAGTGCAGAGGAGGCCCGTGGTTCAGGTGGTGGACCGGCTGCATGGACCTGGCTGCATGCGGGTCCCCATACATCGTGGAGGGGATGCCTACTCCATCCATGCCCCCGTAATGGGGTAGATCGTCGTACTGCATGACAAACAGGAGAGAAAGAAGGTTCAGAAGGCCAGGCGGGCAAATGGGGGAACGGCAGGGCGCCGAGCTTATATAAGTTCAGTCCAGCTGGATCTTTCAACCCTGAATTCGGTGGCCTTGCATCTCTGGAGTTGAGATTTCTTATTTTAAACGTAATTGGTAAAGTAAAAATTCTAGGATTCTCAATAATAATACTCTTCTGGGATGCATGGTCTTGCCCTAACTTGTGTCCCTATCAACTAGTTAAGAAATTCAGGATCCTCTGGCAAGGAAGGAAGGAAGAAAGGAGAGAAAGGGAGGCATGTTCCCGAGGGCGGAAGGTAAAACGTGCATGTCGCTGGTAGGGGAAATTCAAAATCACAATAATAAAACGTGCCAGGACAGTGCAGCAAACTCGCTGAGTTTCACAGTCCCTTCACATCAGGGGGAATTAAAAAAAAAAGTTATGATGGGAACAGCTACGCCAAACACGTGAATTCAGACAGGCTTCTCATTTTATTTCCCTGCCAGCCTGGGGTTAGCAGTCCTGCAAAACACTGCATTTCTTTTGCTTTCCAAGACAAACTCTTCTAAATGATACAAAACTAACTGACCCCCTTATAAGTGAAATTCAAGGAAGCATAGCTTTTCCTGGACATTAAAGCTGAATTTAGAATTGAGCAATTTTCTCCCAAAGTTAGAGAAAATCTATAGTTGAAGCAGTTAATATTCTACATATATTTTTACTCTTAGGAAGTTTCTCCCCAGACTAGAAGTCAAGGAGGCAAAGGTTTAAAGCAAATTCAAAAGCATATGCATATACAACACCCCCATCTTCCTCTTCCAGAAAAACTACTTTCACATTGATTGTCATTAATTTTTGTGTGTGAAATTTAGCTATTTAGGTTTTTCTAATTGGTTCATTCCAGGCAAGTTCCTTTCCCAAGATTTGGAGGCGCCGAGAGTGAAATGATTTTCAAAGAAAAGAGGAATTGCCACTTTCATCTCCTTAAAGCCAGAGGTGTGAAAAGAGTTTGGAAGAACGCTGACATTTGCCTGAACCAAAGGAGTAAAGAAAAATGTGTCAGCCTAGTAACTTTCTTTTGCAAACAGGGCTTTGAGGGCCAGGACACAAATTATGCAAGGAAGGCTTTTTGTAGACCCCCTTTCTTTTAAGAAACTACCTCAGTTGGGTTGTCATTGTCTCACTTTACTCTCACTGCATTTCCATTCAAATAGGAATATTGGGGAAATTAGTATTGCATTTTTAAAGTGAGTAGTTGTGTGCTTAGTATCCAATTAGTACAGGGCTTATCTAAGAAAAACTTGCAAAATATTACCTTGCATAAAAATCCATATAAATTAAAATTACTTTTAAAAGATGAGTGTTTTCTGACCAAAAAACTGGCTGTACTATGACAAAGTTATTTGCTTAAAAAAGCTATATACATCTAATGATATTAAAGATGAGCATAATCTATAACATATCAGAAGTTTCCAGCTGCGTATTTTAGTTTAAACATATCTCTAAACTTCTGATCCCTGAACGCTCAAATTATAGCATTAGGTATCTCGCTTAAAAAAAACAAAACAAAACAAAACAGATGATTGCTTGAGCTTGTATTTTTATTTACATAGCTGCTGGTTAGGAATCTATAGAAAACTTGATTACTTGAATTAACAACTCCAAGTAACATACATAAGTCTACAAATGCATTGAATAAATCCTCTCACTTTAGGCCACGGCTTTAGGAGCCTCATTTTAAAAGAGAGAGAGAAAAAAGGAAACTTTTTAGCAGTGTCTTTCAGCCACGTTTCAATTTAATCTCACATTTGAGTTCCACAATTGTTTTTTAATACGTACCCTTTGCGCCATCGGCCTCTCTGGCTCCCTTCCTACTTCAACTTCTAATATATCCTCTTTAAGGCCAGTGTGAAAAGAAACAAATATGCAAACTCCCCCGGAAAAAAAGAAAGCACGACGAAAAATCCCTTCACGTCTCCAGCAATGTGAACTACTGGTCCCAGATCTTCGGTCTACGGGACTTGAAGCAAAGCGCCCGAGTCACTGAGCATAAAAGCGCTCCGTTTCCAAGACAGCAGCGGGGGCGAAAAAAGCAGATCTTCTCTCCCCAAAAAATCAGTTAAAAAAAAAAAAAAAAAGAGCGCCCCTCAGACCCAACTACCAAATCTCATGGCTTTCTGCCACTCCAGCTGTCAATCACAGGCGAGGTTGTCAACGTGGTGAATGAATGATCATCCGCTCTGTCCTCTTCTGGTCAGAACACCTCAAATGTTAATATTCAAATGCACAAAGCCCTAGCGCTCGCTTCCCTTGAATCAGTCCTAATTCCTAATCAGTTTCTCTCTTCTCTCGCTCTCTCTCTTTCTCTTTCTCTCTCTCTCCCTCTTTGCAACTGCTGCACTGGAGGGAGATTAGAGAAGGAGGGTTGAAAAAAATGTCTGTCTGAGTTTGTCTTAAAGGAGCCACGATCGATGCTGCCCGCTTGCAGTCTCCGTGCGTGTGTAAAGTGTGTGTTGCACAGGCGGAGAGGTGGATTCCGACCAGAATGCTAGAACCCGGAAGTAGTGGTGGCCATAACAGGTCGCGTCTTACACAATGCATTGGGCTGCAGCAAGTAGGCTCCTCGGCAGGGGTGGGTGCGCGAAGCGAGCTCTGGCCGCACCGGAGAGGCGGAGAGGCGCTCCATTAAATCGCACGCCCAGGCACAAACGCCACACATCCAGGGCACACGCAGACGAACGCGGGCAGTGGTCTGCGGCCACCGGCTTCATTTTCCGTATTCTTTTCTCTCCCTCCCCCTCTAGGCTCCCTCCCCAAAGCCGACTCTCTTGAAATAAATTGGGAATGAACGCGGGGCAGGCAACAGTGGGAGTTATTTTGCACGGAGCTCCGCGCATAGACTTCATGACTTTCCTCGAAATTATTGGGGTCTGCCAGTATTTTTCCAGAAGGAGGGTGATGCACAAAGTACTGAATTCTCAGAACTAAACACCCCAAGGAGAAAAGTCAAACCGGGAGAGAGGAAGAGGAGGAGCAGGAGCGGGGCTGGGAAAGGCTCGGCTAAGGAGTCCCGAGAACGTAGGGTGGAGGTGGCTCCCGGCTTTCTGCAGATCCAGCCTAAGGGTTTTTGCTGTCAGAGGTGGATGCCGGGCCCGAGGAAAGGAAATGCTTGCATTTTGTCACTTTGGGTCGGGACGCCCCCACCTCCTAGCCCTGGCGGCCCCCCGGCCCCAGCCGCGGCGTCCTGCGCGAAGTGAGAAAGGAAGGGAGGGAACAATGAACTGAGCGCCGGGAATGTGCCCCCAGCGCCTGTTTACAAACACCAAGCTATTTATGATCGCCGGAAAGCGAAACCCGACGCGGACACCGAAAAGCCCAGACCTGGCGGGCGGAGTCCGGGCCGGGGAGCCGCGGGGAGGGAGGCTCTTTCTCCGACCCACTCCGGGCGAGGCGGCCGTGCGCCCAGGGCGCGGCGCGACGGGGCAGGAGCGCTCGGCTCGGGCTGCGGCCGCGGCTGCCTTTGTCTAGCAGGCGCTGAGGGGCTCCAGCCTCCGTCGCGCTCGGGCCTGGAGGGGCCCCGCGCCCCTAGATCTTTCTCTGGCGACGCCCCGAACTCTCCTCTCCAGACCCCCTACCCCGCACTCCGCTTTCCTGTCTCCAACCCGGCTTGGCGAAAACTCCCAGTGCCAGAGAAAAAGAAACCCACTTCGTGAGCTGAGATTTCAGACAAAAGCTGCCCGTACCTACGACTCGGAGGCTCCAACCAGCCACTGGTTTTAACTTTCTCCCTTTCAATACATATTCTCTGGGCTTTAATTTTTTTTCCTTCTCTTTATTCTCCCACTCTAAGCTTGCCCTTTATTATTATATTTAGTGGTGTTATTTTCGTATTTGATTTTCTGCCCGCCGGGCCGATCTGCCGAGATGGCTCAGCCGTAGCAGCTCTACTGGCGGCTGGAAACCTCACATCCCCAAGCAGGGCTCGCAGCTCGCTGGGCTCGGGGAGGAATTTTCCCCCTCCCTCCCTCCGGCTGAAACCTCGCAGAAAACTCCCCCTGCGGTCGGCTGGAAAATGAGCTCACCCAAATCTCGGTAGGCAGCCGTGAAGGAGGGCGCAGCCAATCAGGAGGCGCCCCCGCCCAGGCGGCCGCGCATTGGCTGCGGGGAAAATCAATTATCAAATAATCGATCAGCAGGGAGCTTCGATCTGCCGGGAATGCAAACTGCCAGTCCCCATTCCCGCCCTGAAGGTGGCCAAAAGGCTGAGTCCCTCAAAGCCCTCGGCCCGCGCTCCCGTCGCCCCCACCCCCAGGCCACCCGCCAGCTGCGGACCGAACCCTCACCCTAAAGCGGGTGTAAGCAGCGGGAAGAGTTTTGAGAAAGATTAGGGGAATCCTTTCACCCGAAGATTGTTTGGGAAAGGTTAGGAGCTCTCGAATGTATCGAAGTCAACTCGTAAGTGCAGAGTAGAGAGAATTTGCATCCGGCTTCGAGATGGGACTCAAGTTTCTGTAGAGTGGGCTTCCGAGGCGCGGGGGACACAGGGCGAGCGTCAGAACAGAGACCTTGAATCAGGCTCCACCGCGCGCACGCAGCCTCCCGGGGCGACATTACCGCTTCTTTTACCGCTCGGCACGAGTCCACGCCGGCTCGCTCGCCCCAGCCGCGGCGCGTCTCCATAAAGCCCAGCAGACGAGCCTTCCCAGCCATCGCCCCGCCCGGACTCGAGCTCTCCTCCCCATGTGTGCCCGAAGGGCTGACACGCGTTCACCCGGAGCCTTCAGATGCGCTTTGCCTTGAAAGAGCTCCGACTGCTTAAAAAACAAAAAACAAACAAACAAAAAAAACCACCGCCAGGATCCCTTATCATTTGTCTTACTCCCTTTTTCCTTTCTCTCTGTTTCTGTCTCCCTCTCTCTTCCTCTCTCCCTCTTTTTTTGTCTCCAACACCCAAGTTTTAGGATCTTTTACTTTTCTGCATCTCCTACATGTGTAGCGCTTTCTGGCATGAACGCCTGGATAGATTCACTTGGGAGGTTAAGGCAGGCCCGTGAGTAAGAACGGAGCGGGGGTGGGGTGAAGTGGGGGCAGCCAGGTGAATTGCCAGCGCCTTTATGCCCAAGCCTGACCCCGGCCCCCCACCTCGCCCCCGCAGCATGAACTTGGAAGCAGAATTTCAGGCCAAGATGGAACCTCCCGGTCTCAGGCAGGCGATTTCTGTTTAATTCTTGGGAAGCTGCGCTAGCTGGGCCAGGCAGCACGCTCCTTTTCCGATAGTGGAGAGGACTAAGCTGGGCCGGCAGCCTGCTAGCCCTTCCCCGAACCCCAGGCGGCTGCAGCCGACACCTGAGCGCCTTCCGACGGGGCTCGCTAGGGTGTGGGCACTGTCTCAGCAGCAGGCCCGCCAGGCATCTGCGCAACTGGGCATAGGAGGGAGCCGGGGTGGCAAGGGGAGGGGGTTAAACCAAACACCGACAGGGCACATCTACATTTATGATGCTTAAATGAACTGCGAGGGAAATTGTGTAAGTAGGATTTAACTGAGAGAAATTTACTGCGAAATACACTTAGATGACCGTGGTCTTTAACAGCCCTAGGGATTCTCCAGCCAAGACTTAGGTAACAGGGCTTGGAGTTACTCAACTCCGCGGCCACGTTTTCAAATTTGGAAAAGGTCTGTTTTTATATGAATATAAATTTATACACATACATACACAATGGGATTTATTTTGTATTGTTGCTTTCCCGTAAGTTTTTTTTGCTTGTTTTATTTTCTAGCAGAGACGAAAAGAGAAGGTTCAGGTAAGTCACTCTTTTCAAGCACAAGCAAAATCTTCAAAGCAATAGGAAGACTATTGTGTCCTGTATCCATGATGTGTCAGACTGCCTTAAAAATGTGCATTAAATTACCTACACGCAGATTTTCCTTAAAGAATGGGATAGTTTGAATTTGTGGGCTGAAAATAAACTCTTAGTAGCTTTTGAGAAGTGCCTACTTCCACTCTTTCCATTTATAACTGTGAACCTAATATTACTTCTAGGCCTTATACGATTAATTCTGAACAATCAAGGAACTAAAACACTTTTACAATGTAATTACAGTAGTACAAATTGTTTGCCCAAACCTCATTCTGGATAAGGATTTTACAATTAGCAAACAGTTATTACAGTTGGGGCTTGCTGAGAGAAATTGCACAGAGGACGTCTAGAATCGCAATATAGTAGCCATAAAAAAAAAAAACAAAACAAAAAAAACCCACCTCCTTTAGCAGGGCAGCCATTAATCATCTATTAAAGAAAAAAAATGAAGGGACAGTTCTGGGCATCTTAGTAAACTACTGATGATATTTATGCCAGTTCTGTGACAGCGCCTATACTAAGCTTATTTCAGGTACTTGCTTTTTAAGGCAATAGCACTTTATTTTGCAAAAATGTGGCCTGATGAAGAGGTTCTGGCACTTGGCCCCAGCTATTGCGACTCAGGTCTTTCATTCGCTTCTATCCTTCTTATCCCAGAGCATCTCCCCCAAACCAGAGGAGGGTGACTAAAAAAGACACAGGCTGGGCCCTTGGTCACTATTGTTTATACCCTCCTACACAGAGGCATTTCAAGCCAGCAGTGCTCCTCTGGACTGCTGGTATAGTTGTCTTGGAGAACTCCCCTGTAACTTTCTGTTCTCCTGTTAGGAATTGGTGCCTTTGGAGAGGCCTGTATCCTGAACTAGTCTTTTGTCCCCAAAGGTCACACTGATGAGTCACCTCCAAAACCCTCAGAAATTAAAGAGGTACCTCTTAAGGTAAAATGTGTGTGTATTTGCCAGCCCAGAATAAACAAAAGCCTGTTAATCAATCGGGTTTGGCAGCTGTGTTCACAGAATGATAAGGGTTTATCATCTGGCACCTAACTTTAAGATGGCCTGTTAAAATGTTGTGATTGCTTTTTAGGTTGTCCTGTGGTGTGGAGGCTTGGGGTTTGTATTTCAAGAACATTCGTCCTCAGCATCTCAACCCCACATTAGCATTCTCATTTCAAAAAACAGAAATAAGAGGAGGGGAAAGACAGTTTAAAGAAAATAGATTTGAAATCTAGTAGAGATAATACAGGAATGCTGGAGATAAGAGGCTGGATGTGATAGGAGAGAGGTACCAAGAAGTCAAAGCTAATGAATAGCTGTGAGAAAAGTGAAATAGACTATTTAGAGGTCTATTAAAGAGAGAAACCTGGTTAGGTGATATGAAAGGGGGTTACCCGAGAGGATTAGGGAGAACGTTAATCAAGTGCTCTGAAGCAATCCAGGCTATAAGAACTAGGAGATTTGTTTACTGCATTTTGCTTCAGAAAACAAAGAGTGTCTGGGTCCAGTTCAGAAGTCAATGAGAGGTCAGCCTAGGCTCTCCGACTGTGACTGTTGCAGGGAAAATACCTAGGTGACTATATTCCAACTGGATAATGCAAAAGCTAAAAAAAAAAATTGGGGGGAGTGTGCTTTTCTTACTACTTTTCTATTTCAAATCATTAAAATGCTTTGGTCTCTAGAGGGGGAAAAACTACACTGGTTAACATAATTACTAGCTCTGACATTTTCAGAAGTTATAGAGGTCTTTTATTAATTAAATGGAGGGCTTAATAAAATATTCCTAATAAAATTTATGGTTGTCTTA